CACTTTTTATTTCATTAGTTGACCCCTGTATGTGCCCTGACCAAGGATCGAACCCACAACCTTAGCATATATGAATGACACTCTAACCAACTGAGCTACTTGGACAGTGCTGGAAGAAAGTTTATTAATGGTATATAAGATTCTTAGGTTAACACAAAATTCCATAGAGTATTAAGGTCATGAAAGAAAGCATTGACAAATAAAGTCCTTTGTCACTGTCTTTTATATTTTATATCACTGATTACTGTTGATTTCAGTATATGTCTTTCTCTAACTTCATAACCTTAACTTGTTTTCTACCCCAACTAAGTATCAGGCAAAGAGGCATTGACCAGAAATATTTTTGTCATAATACAAAATCCCATCCTGCATGGACATCCTCTCATTGTTTTGATACAAAAGTCCATCTCTAACTCCATAAGGTGGCATAGACAGTGGATGCCTAGCTGTTATTCCTCTCTCACTCCTGTCCACTCCCTGTATTTTTCTCTGTTACTTCTTGGTATATTAATTGTGGCATAAGCCACATTTTTTTAAAAATCTCTTTTGGACCCACTTTTATGAGGAATTCCAAAAATAATGAGCAGTGTCTGTTGTCTCATTATGCAGAGAACTTTCTTATACTCACAGGTGAATAAGGGAGCATTTGACCAACGATGCGACCCCTCAGTGTGCTGCTGGCTGTGGCTCCCTCCGGAAGACAGCACACATCTAGGAGGTGGACTGGGATGCTTTGTAGAAGAATCCATGTTCAGCTTATGCTTTCATCTTTGCCCAAAAAAATGCTTGTTAATTTTGGAATGGATCTGCCTTCCTCAAAGACAAAATTAATAACCTCCAAACATAATGTTATTAAGCCAGAAACTAAATTGGAGCTACCTTTTTTATTTTTTTAAATATATTTTTTATTTTCAAAGAGGAAGGGAGAGGGAGAAAGAGACAGAAACATCAATGATAAGAGAGAATCATTGATCGGCTGCTTCCTGCACGTTCCCTACTAGGGATCGAGCCTGCAATCCGGACATGTGCCCTGACTGAGAATAAAACCATGACCTTCTGGTTCATAGGTCAATGCTCAACCGCTGAGCCACACCAGCCAGGCAGGAGCTACCTTTTATTAACAGTGCAAGGAGGGCAGGGTGAAGTATTGCAGAAAACATTTGCTCCACCAAAATGCAAACCCATTCAGCATCACAGGCAACACAATTCAGGGTGCCCAACATTGCCTGACGACGGATTATTTCTTTAGGAATTCACAGAACTCAATTAGTAATTAAATCTGGCAAATTAGAGGTGAAGCAGCCTCGTATCCCATTACTCCCCAGCCACCCTCATCCATGTAAGCACTAACAGGACCACTCTCATTGCCATTGTCCTTCACTTTACAGTATAGCAGTGCACACGACAGAGCTATATTGTACAGATGGATCTGTGGGGTTTAGAGCCATGCAATGATGTTCTGCAACTGTCTCCTGTTCTGCTGCAAATATTTGGTGTTCAATAACCCACAAAATTTCTCATTTCTTACCTGTGGTGATGTGGGCTGATAGTTTTTAGGTGATAGGTTGCAATATGCAATAGTCTTACAGGTACATTAGTTCAAAATAGTTTAAACTCTAAGCACCATTGGAATTATTGTTTATTTCCTTGCCTCTGCGTTTATATTTAGAACATTTAAAAAGAATAAATTGGGTTTCTTTTTTGTAAAGACTCTTAACAGCATAATTATAAGTGGTACAGAAGGCATGCAAAGAAGCAATAGATATCCATCCCACCCATTCAGCGTCACAGGCAGTGCAGCCCATGCTGCCCAGCAATGCTTGAAGAAGGATCATTTCTTTAGGAATCCATAGAACTCATCCTGAATCTGATTCAAACAAAATAATATATTGAGAATTGGTATTTATTTTTTGCTTCACACCAGTTAAGCTAAGCATAAATGGACACCAACTGCATTTTTTAAATGTAGTATTCTAGCCCAGCTGCGGTGGCTCAGTGGTTGAGTGTCGACCTATGAACCAGGAATTCATGGTTCAATTCCCGGTTAGGGCAAATGCCCAGGTTGCTGGCTCGATCCCCGATCGTGCCAGAGGAAGCCCATCAATTATTTTCTCTCATCGTTGATGTTTCTTTCTCTCTCTGCCTCTCCCTTCCTCTCTGAAAAATATATTTTTAAAGAAGAAATGTAGTGTTCTAAAACCGAGGCCCATGGACAGTGAGTTGGTATGCCTATAGTAAT